CTTGGCTGCTCTTCAAGCGCCGGCGAGGCCAGAGTCCCAGTTGACCCGGCCGCCTCTTCTTCTTCTTCGTCGTCGTCGTCGTCGGTGGTGAGGCCCGAGCTTTCCGGCTCGAATTGCAGACCACGGCTCACGAGCCGCCGCGCCGACATGGTGTGCTCTTCTTCTTCCTCCTCCTCCTCCCCCTCCTCCTCCTCGTCGTCGTAGGCCTCGTCGTCAGTGGTGTAGATCGCATCATCGGTGCTGTACTTGCGGGCGCCGCTGGCGGTGCGTTGGGCGCGTGCGGGGGTGCCGTAGATCAGGCCTCCCTCCATCTCCTGCTCCTCCTGCTCCTCCTCGTCACCGCCTTCGTCGGCCGCCCCACCCGCCTTCTTCTGCGCCCCCGCCCGGAATTAGAACGCGCGCACAGCGGTGGTCGTGGCGACGGCGGCGAGGAAGGGGGGTGGGGCGTATGTGTGGGGGGGTAGTATATGTATAGAAATGTATATATGTATATATGTATGTGTATATGTATAGAAAGTATATGTACTCGTAGTCGTCGGCAGCGGCGGAAGCGAGACAGGCGGGAGCGTACGGAGAGGCGAGAGAAGAACGGCCGCTGCTGCTGCTGCTGGTGGTAGGCAGCGCCCTCAGAGCCGGGAGCTGCTCCTGTTCCTGCTGCTACTGGTGCTGCTGGTGTGTCGTCGTCGTCGTGGTGGTGGTGGTGGTGGTGGTGGCCGCGTAGCGGGGACTTGACCTGCTGGGCGATCTCGGCGGCGAGGAGGGTGCGAATGGAGGCCAGGTTGGGGGCGGCCTCGGCCACCAGGTCCACGTGCACCTTGCGGTGTACGGTGGCCGTGCGCGGGGAGTGGAGATCGTGGGCCAGCGGCGCGCGCTGGTGGCGGTGCAAGTGGAGCAGCACCATCGACTGGCCGTAGGTGGCCGACACCTGCAGCACGCGCCCCATCCCCGACAGCAGCTTCACCAGCGACGGGCGCTTGCACTGCCTCTCGTCCCCGTGCCCTGCTCACCAGCCACCAGCCACCAGCCGCCACCAGCCACCAGCCACCAGCCACCAGCCACCACCAGCCACCAGCCACGATGATGAGATCCGGCAGGGCTACAGCGGCACACAATGGGGAGGGGCGCGCGCGGAGGTGGTTCCAGAATCACAACAAGGCAGGCAAGCAGGCAACAACGTACCGAGCTGAGCCCACGCGGCGGAACCCCACGTGAACACGTTGTGCTCGTCCACTACCGCGATCGAATGCGAATACCTGTGCAGCCCCTCCCCGCGCAGGATATGGCCCAGCAGCGGCAAATGCAGCATCGGATTGGACGGAGGGATGCCGTTAGAGGGGGGGGCAGCCGTCATCGTCAACGTGTGGTCCACGCATTGACGGGTGTGTGTGTCGTGTGTCGTGTGTCGTGTGTCGTGTGTCGTGTGTCATGTGTCGTGTGTCGTGTGTCATGTGTCGTGTGTCGTGTTAGATCGACGGCCCACGTTATGCAGTTGCGCCGCCATGGCGGTCCGCGATTACGGGGGACAAGGTACAGGCGTACCCGGCGGCGATGTGGGTTACGTGTCGAGGCGCCCCGACGGGTGGGGCGTGCAGGCCCTCCTCGCCCACCACCGGGGTGGCGGCGGCGAACTTCTTGGGCTTCATCTGCTTGGGCAGCGGGAAGGCAGCCTTCTTGCGGAACCCCAGCTTGCGGTGCTCGTTGGAGCCCCACAAGTAGAGCTCCCCGTTGTCTGCGCGATTCGCAACCCCACCCGCGCCCCAGCCCTGATGTCAACGTGTGTGCCGTGTGCGGTGTGCCGTGTGCGGTGTGCGGTGTGCCGTGTGCGGTGTGCCGTGTGCGGTGTGCCGTGTGCGGTGTGCGGTGTGCCGTGTGCGGTGTGCGGTGTGCCGTGTGCCGTGTGCCGTGTGACGTGTGACGTGTGCCGTGTGCCGGCTGTGTGGCTGATTGTGTCGTGTGGCGGGGTACCGGTGACGGCCATGGAGTGGTCGTGACCGGCGGCGATGCGGGCCACCTTGACGTTGAGGAGATCCCCCTCCACCCGGCGGGGCGTGAGGCTGCGGTAGCCCGTCAGCTTCAGCTTCTGGTGGCCCAGCTGGCCCTACAACCCATCATGGCGGTTGTGTGTCGTTGTGTGTCGTTGTGTGAGAGATCGCCCTGGCGAGCACACACGTGGTGTGCCGCGAGCCTGGGCGGGCGAGGGAGGAGGGCAGGTACCTTGTCGCCGCGTCCGAAGGAGAAGATGGCGCCATCGGCGGCGAGGACGAGCGAGAAGTACTCTCCGGCCGAGGCCGCCACGACGGGCACGTCCGAGAGGGCCATGACCTGCTTGGGCGCCCGGATGTCGCCCGTGAAGAACCCGTGGCCCAGCGCGCCGGCCTCCCCCGACCCGAACGAAAAAAGCCCCCCTTGTTGCGCACGACGACGACGACGACGACGACGACGGCACGCACGCACGCACGCACGCACGCACGCACGCACGCACACCATACAACGGCGGCAGCAGCGACCCACCACCCACGACAGCGAAGACTCCGGTCAGTGGGTACAGGTACATCGGGGGACGGGAGGTGGTCGCCACGATACCCAAAAAAAAAAATAGAAACAAAACTAGATAATATGGACATATGGGGGGGGGATTAAAAAGGGATGGGTACGGACCAGTGCTGGTGACGAGGAGGGTGTGCGCGCCCCCGCACGAGACGTCGACCACGCAGTGGCGGGCCATGGAGCGTAGGAGGGCGGGCGTATTCGGGTCGGGCATCGACAGGTCCATCGTGCCTGCCACCCCCGGCCGACCCCGACCCATTAGCGCCAACCACATTGGGGGGGGGCACGTGCCGCCGCTCAAGTCGTGGAGGTGCGTGCGTGCGTGCGGTAGGGGGGGGGTAGAGGTAATACCAAAGTCGCGGGAGGAGGTGAGGGCGGAGCCCCACAGGAATACGCGTCCCTCGCGGGTGAGCACGAGCGAGGAGCCGATCCCGCACGCCGCCTTGACCGCCACGTGGTTCTCCAGCCCCTGCACGGGCTGCGCGTGCAGCTGCGTTGCTCCCGTACTCCCCTGTATGTACATGTTGGCCATGCACACCCACCCACCCCAAGGCACCCACCGCACCGGTCAACAGTAGGCCACATGGGAGCGGCGGCGGCGGCGGCGGCGGCGGCGGCACGCTGCTGCTGGCCTGCGCGTTAACCGGGGGGGAGGGGTACGTTGATCTGGCCGGTCGCCTTGTCGCCGAGCATGTAGACCTTGCCCGACCCTGCAGACAGTACATGAGGGGGAGGAAGGGCGAGAACGGCGGAAAAAGTGAGTACAGACCATTTGGGAGAAAAGGCCGAGGGGCACGCCCACCCCACCGAATTGTCGTGTGTGTGTCGCGTGTGTCGTGTGTGTCGTGCGTGTCGCGTGGTGCGTACGGGTGGTGAAGAGGGCGTGGGAGGAGCTGCAGGCGACGGAGGTGATGGTGGAGAGGGAGAGCTGGAGCTGGGTGTCGGGCAGGTTGAGCGGGCGGGGCTCCCGGAGGTTGCTGGTGAGGCGATCGTACTTGCCGTTGCGGCCCATGCCCCACGTCCACAGCTCCCCGCCCTTGGCCCCCGATGGTGCCCCCTCCCCCTCCCCCTCGTCGTCGTCGTCGTCGCCGTCGCAGTCGTCATCGTTGAGGTGGCGGTGGTGGTAGTGCTGCTGCTGCTGCTCGTCGGCAGCGGCCTCCCGGCACACGCGCGAGGAGATGTCGAGGTGGAAATCGCTCCTTCCGTTTGGGTGCTGGTGCTGCCGCTGGTCGGGGTTGTTGGTGTCGCTCTCGCTTCTACGACCGGGAGACAGCCCCCGATGAGCTCCCTTGTCCACCTCGTGGCGCATGAGGGGCTCCGGAATGCTCGCATGTCGGCCCACACGTCCCATCGGTCGGTCACGCCTCGCCCCCGCCGCCTCCGCTTCCTCCTTGAGCTGTAAAGTTTCGTCTTGCACCACGCGCGACCGCCTGGGTGCCCCCAACGCCCCCAACGCCACACCAGCACTCGCGTGAGCTCCTGCTCCTGCGTGGGTGGCTGGTGGTGGCTGGCGGTGGTGGCTGGCGGTGGGAAGGAGATGGCTTCGTGTCTGTTTCCCGGGAGGGGGGGGGAGAGCACGTACCGCTTTTGGCGCTTCTTGGCGAGGAGGTTGCGGGTGAGGAGGTGTTTGGAGAGGTAAAACGGTTGGCCTCGCGCGAAGATGTCGTGCTGGAGCATTGTGGTCGACAGGTTGACGTCGCTCCAGTTGTCAAACAGGCTGACTGTGGTGTCGCCACACCAGATGGTCACCACCGCCAGCGATGAGACAGACAACCGACTCACCAGCCATCGCCCCACGGCCCCACAAATAACAGAGGGGGGGTGGCAATGGGGGGGGGGGGAAGGAGGCGTACTTTGCTTGAGCCAAGAACGTGTAGCTCGCTTGATGGAGTCGTCCTGCCGGCCGGCCACCTCGGCGCTCAGCTCCTGCCAGCGCGATGGGGGGGGGGAACGGAGGTGAGAAGAGTCCAACAACAAACTACCCAACCCAACCCAACCCAACCCAACCCAAATCAACCACTGGTTGCCACAGCAGGAGGTTACAGTGAGCGGATCAGGAGCAGGCGCCTCGCGCGCCTCGTGCTTCGCAGGGGAGAACACACCACACGCACCACACACACCACACACCATTCAGACACACACGTTTGATGGAGTTGCAGAGCAGAGCATAAGAGGAGATGGATCGTTGCCCCCTCCCCTCCACCCCAAGTATGGGAACGGAAATAAGATGGGTGTAACAGGGCAGGGCAGGGCAGGTCCAAGGTGGCTGGCTGGGTGGCTGGGTTGTGGTATGTGGGGGGGGGTACCTTCTGGATGAAGTGGCCGAAGGACAGCAGATAGTCGGGCGACCCGAACACGAACTTGAGGAGGTCGGGATTATCGGATGGCAGCGGGAATCTGCAGATTTATTCGTCGTCGTCGTCGTCGTCGTCGTCGTATTCAGCGGGGGAAGGAGAACGAGAGGGGAGGTTGGGGTTAAGGAGTCAAAAGAGAAGGGGAAGGATGATGAGGAAGAGGAGCAGCAGCAGCAGGAGCAGGAGCAGCAGCAGGAGCAGGAGCAGGAGCAGGAGCAGGAGCAGGAGCAGGAGCAGGAGCAGGAGCAGGAGCAGGAGCAGGAGGAGTACCTTTCCCAGAGGAGCTCGAAGCGCCGGCCGTACCGGAAGGCGGCAGCGAATAGGCGCTCCTCCTCGGCAAGCTTGGCCAAGCGACAGCACAGCACCAGGCCGAAGGGGTGGCCCATGCCCACCCCTTGTGGCCGCGCATCACCTGCAGGCACGGGCAGGCACGGGCAGGCAGGCACGGGCAGGCGAGGGTAGCCAGCGTGGCGCCGTGAGCTCACGAGGGGTCGGCATTAACCGGCGGTGTGCGCGCCAAGGGACAGAATAGGGTGCGGTGCGCGCGTGCGGTGGATAAAAGGGGAGGGGA